ACCCCTTCCCCGGGACCAGCTTTTCGTCCGGAGACGCTTCTTCACGGTCCCGAGGCCCAGCGAGGGCCCCCGGAGGCCGAAGATAGCGAAAAACCTCGCGTCGTGGAGGAGGTCTGGGATTGCGCACCGCCCGACCGTCGCACGGGTCCCCGCTGCCGAGGAGGCCGGCGCGCGCGGGCGGCGGCGGCGGCGAGCCAGCGCCGTGGCGCCGCATATGCGCGCGCGGGCACGCGCGCAGGCTCGAAGGGCGGCCTGTGGGGCCTCGGGCCAAAAGCGCGCGCCAGGTTTAGGCTGGGCACGTCCCCCTGCAGGCGTACTGTGGACGAAAAATCTAAAAAATAGTCAAAAAAGTACCCCCAGAAAATCCGAAAATGGTAAGGAAATCGTCCCCAGGCAATATGTTGGCTATATTTTTCTATTCCCCCTGTACAAGGACAGGCCCGACTTAATGCCAGGTTCGAGGCTCGACGATCCCGGGACCCCCTCGCGTTGCGAAAGCATCGCGGCGGGAAGTTTGTCCCCAGCTTCGGCCGCTGGGGGCCATTACCGCGCCTCGGGGTCGTCAAGAAACGACTCGGGATGAAAAACCGGTCACGGCGAAGGGGTGCAGGCCTCTGGGGCTCGACGATCGATGCTCTCCCCTGAGATCCTGGCATTGCAATTGTTTCACAAAAGGGGTTTTCGCTCAATTTCGAGCCCCCGGACCCCCACAGATCGATCCGGGTCGAGAAATGACGTAGAAAGATGCGGTCCGGGGTTCCAGGCGTGATTTTCTGCGATGTTTCAATTTTTTTTGCAACGTCGGATCTCAGGATTCACCAGTTTTCGCCCAACTGGCTCGCTCAGCGCAGCGAGCTCGGAGTGGCCGAGTGGAGCTCGAAGGGTCCCTCGCCCCCCTCGAGCCCATACAGCGAGGCAAAGGGGTAGGGGTTGCTTTGATCTGACTGTCACCGCTGGTGTTTATCTTCCTCTTCTTGTCCTTTCTCTCTCTATCTCTTTTCTCCCTCTCTCTTCTATGCAGAACAGGAAAATGAGGACCCACATGTCTGGCGACTCGGTAAACTGATGGCCCTGAGAGGCTTTCTATCAAAGCACGCCGATGAGCGACGCCTCCTCTAAAGGCCACGTGGGGGGGCGGGGGGTTAGTTCCAGGGGGTCACGCATTCCAAGACCTCCCGCGGATTAAACAACGAACCATCTCCGCCACGTCTGGCGATGCCTTTCGGCTCATGACTGAAGCCTCCGGCCGACGTTCGGAACGATCTGGGCAACGAGACGCTCTCGACGAAGCTCAGCTGTGCGAACGCATACCGAGGCCAGAAAACCGCCAAGAGCGGACGAAAACGTCCGAAGACCACCGAGCGTCGACACCCGTACCCTGATCCAGTCCGGGCCAGCCTCTTCGGCAATATGGCCCACGGCGGCACGAGCGCGCCAGGGGGTCCAGCACCGATCCAATCAATCCGCGCGGACCCGCGAAAGTCTATGTGTGCGCGGTTGGCCCTTCTTCGATGGATGTCTGGGGGCGGCGACGACGTGGACGACGACGACGACAGCGGCGACAAAGACGACGACGAGGACGACGACGACGACGACGACGACGACGACGACAACGACGAGGACGACGACGACGAGGACGGCGACGGCGGCGGCGACGACGACGACGACGACGACGACCGTCACCACGGCGGCGCCGGCGACGACGACGACGGCGGCGGCGGCGGCGGCAACGAACATACGGCGACGGCGACGACGACGACGACGACGACGACGACGACGACGACAACGACGACGACCGTCACCACGGCGGCGCCAGCGGCGCCGGCGACGACGACGGCGGCGGCGGCGGCGGCAACGAACATACAATGACGGCGACGACGGCGACGACGACGACGACGACGACGACGACGACGACGACGACGACCGTCACCACGGCGGCGC